ATATATTATTATTTCTTTATAATATTATATAAATACTTTATATTAAATAAATTATGGTGGAATGAAGTGTGCATGGGAGTAAATTAATTTAATTTATCTAGTTCTTCGTGCATATTAATGATGCATTTNTAAAAATATTTCTTATCATAAAGGACAGACAAAATAAATATTGGGTCACTTCAATAGTTAACGACAAATCGTTGCTCTCGATTTTGTTATTTTATAAAGTTATGTTCCATATGATAAAGACTTCAAGACGTTTATATTAGAGATTTAACTATATATATATATATATCATATACAGTCATTTGTAAGTTTTACAAAATACTATCTTAAAAAGTTTTAGTACTTTTCATGAACAATTTTATTCAAACTTGGCTTATGGCTGGATAACAAAACTTTAGTCATCTTGGTGAATTATTTAGAGGTCTTGTGTTCAAGTCCTACAAAGTGATCATCTATCACATTTATGATTTATTTGACTTATTGGATTTGTAGGGTATTCAATAAAACCCCGAGAAATAGTCAAACACTCCGAGTTATATATAGTCCTAATGTCCAAAATTAGAACCAAAATTAATTTTCAAAATTAGGTTAACTTGGACAAGCAAATTACATTGAGTCTAAAGTCAAGCCACCCTATAGGTCATTGGGCCCAAGCAAGGCCTATGGGCTATGGGTACCTCTAACATGAGCACAACTTGTAGAAGTCACTTTCCAATAGAAATAAAAGATTACAAAATAAAGACATAAAGATATTGAGAGACAAAAAATAATTGTCATTGTCAAAAAAGGGGGGAATTCAGAGATAGCCACTTGATGGGATCTTCTAGGTCAATTTGGGTATTTAACTAATGCCCATTTGTCAATTTTTAGTGAAAGATATTGAGTGAAATTAAACCCAACATATATATGGGTTTGAATTATTATTTTTATTTTTTTGGTTTAAAACAACTAAAAAAAAAGTTTAGGAAAATTAGAATTTAGAAAAAATTTCAAAAAAAAATCTATTTTCCAATTTTTGAGACAAACTTAGACTTATTAACTTGAAGAAATACTTGTTATATGGGATAGTTTCACTATTTTCATTTTGTTGAGATAGTGGTAGTTTTTTTTTTTTTTTTTTTTAATAAAACAGATATTTGCTTTTAAATCGTCCATCATAATGGTATTTATAATGAATAATAAATTATGATTATCGTTGAACGGTTTATTCAAAAATAAAATCTAGCAAATACAAGACAAAATGTGGTATTATTTTTATTCGTATAGTTTCAACATATCAACAAAGTGGCATAACGAAATTATTTATATTATTAGATTTATAATAATAATAATAATAAAAGTAAATAAGAAGAACTTTCAAATATTCAAAATGAAAACATCATTTTTTTTTTTTAAATTCTATATAATAAGAATACTATTGAGCTTCTTTCAAATACTCTTATTATTATAATCTTCTTTCCTCTTTATTGCCAACTATCTTGGCATTATCAATTTGCTCATTCTCACTATGATTTTTTTAGTAAACCACTTTTTCCCACTCAAGGTTTGCCACAATATATTCCCACACAAAAAGTTTCAAAATATCACTTTCCCACCCAAAGTTTATATTCCGTTTACTACTCATAATAGATTTTCCTATTCGACGGCTAACAGAGAGCAAACTCGGTCCAAGCTATTAGGGATTTTGAAGAGGGGATGTCGGTGAGTCTTTTGGTGATGACAAGTTGGATTTTGGTGGGCGGGATTGGTCGGAACTAACTTAGGAAGAGGCTACTGTACATTTCACAAATCGCTCGATTGTTGGCAATTGGCAGGGTAGGTGGGAGAAATGTTTGAGTGGTTTAGATGAGTGATTATTGAGAAAGAGAATGGTGGTGGTTTGGGGTCGCAAAGATGTCGGAATCGGTTGGCGATTGGTTGGAATATAAACTCTGGGTGGGAAAGTGGTATTTTGAAACTTTTTGGGTGGAAAATTAAGGCAAACCTTGGGTGGGAACATCTTGGTCTTTGCTTCACTCTCTCATTTTGATTATTATAATAAACATTATAGTTTTTGATGAAGCAAAGTTTATGAGATAATTAATATATTATTATTTCTTTATAATAAATACTTTATATTAAATAAATTATGGTGGAATGAAGTGTGCATGGGTGTAAATTAATTTAATTTATCTAGTTCTTCGTGCATATTAATGATGCATTTGATTTATTAAAAGTTTTAAAATAATTAAAATTTAAGTTTTTAATTAATAGCAATTTTGACTATTGACCCATCTATTAATTTCTCTTGAAAATATATTATAATGTATAATTCCTAATTTCACCAACATTAATTAATCATCAATTCGACAATTGATTTGCTATTTTCCTTTTCAATATTCAAAATTGTATATTTTTATATATTAAAATTATTGTTTTTTCTGAAAAATTTGGATATATAGTGTAAAAATAATAAATTATAGTCTCAAAAATAATATAATTTTGTAATTGAATTGGACCTAATACAGTTGACGATCCAAGCCCGGCCCATTTAGGAAATGGGTTGGTTTGCTTTCAGTAAATCAGGCTAGTAGGACACATATTAAAGATATGGGGCCTCACTTGACAATGACAACCCATACTTGATAATTTCCCCGAAGCTCTCACATGGAATATTTGAAATTACCAATCTGTCCCTGACAATGATACCATTGAAGACAAGTTGGTCCTTGACCTACCCAACATGTCTCTTAACGTGGTACTGGTTTGATAATATTATCGTCTTTTAATTTTTATCTCGATAATTGGGATCGGAATTTATATAAATGGTATAAGAATTTTAAAATTTCGTATATAAATACAATAATATTATTTTTCTAAGTGAAATCTCAAATTTCTCACGTTAGGTGATGCCTTATCCGATGTAAGATTGATATATTATTTATCACTTCAACTCTTCATTAACATGTGAACGTTGTATAAGATGACACATCAATTCTCACTCATGAATAGTAAAATGTTCAATGGATCTCGGGATCAGACCCAATTATCAAACAAAAATAGTAGAATTTCGGGTAAATATGTTCATTTGATCCTTCAAATTTCATTTTGGTCCCTTTGTTCATTAAAATTTACATTCTTACCCCCTCAAATGCAATTTTTTTTTTTAAACAATACTTCATACTTCAACCCGAAATACAATTTTCTAATTCCTCCATTCACTAGATTCATAGTCTAAGTATTAATTAGACTATGGGTCCAATGATCAACGTAAGAGTATCCACGATGGCATAACAAAAACTCAAGTTAAATACATTTTGGTTCCTAAGGTTTAGTCTAAATAACCTAGCCCAGTATGATCTAAAAGTATGAGTTAGATTTTTACCAGTTAACGGTTGTTTAATTGTTTTTTGTAAAAACCTAAAGTACCTTTTATTTCAACTGATAATTATGTTAGTTATAAGAAAATAAAAATGAACATATTAAGGATATTTTAGACTTTTAAAAAAAATTCTTCAAACAGATACTAACCGATAAGAACCTAAGTGTTACTTTCGAATTCTATTAAATCATCATTAAAGTAGGTCAAACCCTAAGGACCACAATGTCATTAACTCACTAATTAAGGGATGGAAGTGACAGTATGCATGAAGGTTGATGCACGTGAGGAGCAGCAGAAAATAAACTTTAATGCAGAAATGAATCTAATTTAAATTACTGAGTGGTAGGGGAGAAGAAGTTTGTCAGACTGAAAAGCAAGTGAATGAACGTGCGCTATTTTGACACTATTTGGAAAGGAACTTCCCACGCTCACATATAGCGCGTGTATTACAATTTCCAAATATATATATATATATATGTATTTTTTTTTTTTTATTTGAGTCACAATTCTATGTTAATACTCAAATAATTATTTTCTAAAACAATATAAGTAATGTTACATATAATAAACGAAAACTCAAAATTATTTTATTTTGATTGAAGTGTCATATTATGTAACAATAATGTATCACATATTCCTGTCGGAGGGCAAGATTGTATGTTATTGTCTTGTATTCGAGCTACACAAAATAGACACTTACCATATTTGTGATTTATTTGATTTATTGGACTCGTAAATATTTAATAGATTCTAAAGATTAGTTGAGATATAAATAAATTAGTCCAAACATCTTGGTTACCGAAAATATGTATGTCATATATATGCATCTACTTATGATACTGTTGACGTGATACAACGGTGTTATACGAAATTTTATTAAATGTATATACTTTTGCAAGGATAGTAACTAAAGTCATAAAGTTGAGTGGTGGAATTAGTATTTTCTCTTTAAGTGTTAAAAGTAGATCTGAATCTACTCCACCACGTACCTTGTTTTTTTGTCTATTTCTTTCAAGACAACAGACACAAAACCCTATAAAATACATACCCCCCAGTCATCAAAAGTTAAATACATTTTGGTCCCTACGGTTTAATTTAAGTATATTAAATCTATAAAAGCCAAAAATATTTGGAGTATTTTTCTTAAAATAGTTTTTGACTTATAAGGACCTAAGTGTTACTTTTGTATTTATATGACGCCTTTCAGTATAGATATTGGTATTATTTGTGTAACACATTTTTCTTATTTTCTAAAAGAATTTTCTAAAAGGGTATTTTCGTCATTCTAATATAATTTTTTTAAGTCAAATTAGCAGTCAACCAATATGATAACTAGATTACTAGAAGTCTAGAATGACCAAAGTACTAATATTTGAAATGACTGATCTTAAAAAGTAGTTGAACGAAACATAGGGATGAACATGTAATTTTCTCATCATGTTCGAAAACATTATACGCCAAAATTTTTATACTAAAGTGGAACTGCTACTACTACTCTCTTCTTAAGCTCAACTCACATTTCATTATTACCTTTTTCTTACTCTCCTCCTCCTTTCTTCTTATCTTTCTATCCCAAACGCTCAAAGTAGTGAAGTTTTCTTTTCTCTTTTTTTATTTTCTTTTTCCCTTTATTTTTTCTTCTATTTTTTTCTCCCTTTCCTCCATGGATTCATATGAAGCTACAAGAATGGTGTTCTCTAGGATCCAAAACTTGGACCCTGAAAATGCCTCCAAAATCATGGGTTATCTCCTCATTCAAGACCATGGCGAGAAGGAGATGATTCGTTTAGCTTTTGGACCTGAAACTCTCATTCATAATCTCATCATCAAAGCCAAATCTCACTTGGGTATTCTCAACTTTCAAAATAATGCGATTACACCCCCTTCTTCTTCCTCTCCCTCTACTCCCTCTTCCCTTTTCAACCCCATTTCCAGGCCCAACCCTCTCTCCATTTCTTCCTCATCTCCTTCCTCAACTCCCTGGCCTCTCTCTGGACTCTCCAGCCCTCACAGTCCAAGCGTCAATGGCTTCAGCTCCTCTCTTTCTTATGCAAATATCGTAAATGGAAGCTCCAATGCTGCAAATTCTGAATCTTTGTACAATAATGGTGACGTTATTGATGAGTTTCAGCTTCAAGATCACCTCTCTTTTCTCAACGAGTCTAAGGGTGAAGACTTGTTTGACCCAAGACTCGAACTTGGTTATTCTCCCGCGTCTTCTCAGTTACACCGGAGGAGTTTTTCCGTTCCTGGGGCGACTTGTTTCGGTTCCGAAGATGCAAATTCTCCGTTCGGTTGGAAGCAATGCTTGTATTTCGCTAAAGGGTTTTGTAAGAACGGAGGTAGCTGTAAGTTTCTTCACGGTGACTCAGTTTCTGCTGTGGCCGATGCTGTTGCTTCTTCTGCCGCCGTTAATATTGGCTCACCGAACAAGCTCAATGAGTTCGAAAAGCAAAGAAAACTCGCCGCTGTCTCCTCTCAGTTCATGGGCGCGGTTTCTTTTCCTTATAACAAGTGCATGAACCTCCTTTTGCAGCAACAAAATGAAACACAAAGGCACAAAACTTTTGCTTGTTTTCTTTGTTTTTGTTTGTTTTCGGGCATTTCTTATTCTGATTTTTGCTTTGTTGCAGATCAGCTGCATTGATGGTGGGCGATGAGTTGCATAAATTTGGTCGTTGCAGGCCTGAGAGAGCTTCTGAATTTTCAGCAATGGGGTTGGGAGGATCTGCGAATCCGGGTTCAAGACAGATTTATTTGACATTTCCAGCTGATAGTACATTCAGAGAAGAAGATGTTTCTAATTACTTCAGGTAATTTTGTTCATAGTGAAGAGCTAGAAGCTTGAATTAATGTAGACTCTTGCTTAAAAAAGTTCCATTTTTTATGGTTTTTTTGCAGCAATTATGGGCCGGTGCAGGATGTGAGGATTCCTTATCAGCAGAAGAGAATGTTTGGCTTTGTAACTTTTGTGTATCCTGAGACAGTGAAGTTCATTCTGGCCAAAGGGAATCCCCATTTCGTTTGCGATTCTCGCGTGCTCGTGAAGCCTTACAAGGAGAAAGGAAAAGTCCCGGAAAAGTATGTTGAATCTTTGTAGTTGTTTGGTTTTTCTTTGTTGTGTGTTTTGCTTGCAACTCTTTGTCATGTTTTCGCCGCAAACTTTTATGGTTTCAGGAAGCAACAACAGATCGAGAGGAGCGAATATTCGGCTTGTTCAAGCCCCTCTGGGCTTGATTCTCGAGAGCCATTTGATTTTCAACTCGGTAAGTTTATGTGCTAAATATCAATATAGGATTATTGTCAAATTCTAAATCTTTTTCATTTAATTGAAACTCTTTTGTGTAAACTTAGGAGCAAGAATGTTTTACAATACACAAGAGATGTTACTGAGAAGGAAACTAGAGGAACAAGCTGATTTGCAGCAAGCCATTGAGCTACATGGGAGAAGGCTAATGAATTTGCAACTTCTAGACTTGAAAAACAATCACCATCATCATCATCACAATCACCATCAGTTTCACCGTGGTTTGCCAAATGGGTCACCAATTCCTTCACCAACTCTACCTCAAACTCCTCACAATCAGGCTCTCATTTTCCCAATAGATGGCCCTGAAGAAGAACTCCAACAAGGTCAGTGTTCAATTGGGTAATGCTCACATTTTCAAAAAATAATAATAGAAGTCTTTTAAGTTATTGCATTAATTTGTTTGGTTCAGAGATATGTGGCAGCCCAGCTGAAGATTCTCAAAATGCTGCAGATCCAGATGGTGATCAGGAAGTGAATAATCCAATTTATGATCACAATAATGGCAATGCCAATAGTAGTAGTAGTAGTAGTAGTAGTAGTAGTAGTAGCTGTACTAACAACAAGGAGAAGTCTAGTAGTAACAACAACACTGAAGAAAGTGATCTCCATGAAAGGTAAAAGGGCTTCAATTTCAAGATGTAAACAAAACTTTACCCACAATAGCAATCACTATAATACGTTTATTTTTTGTGACCCCTTTTTCAGTTTAGAGCACATTCTCCCTGATAACCTTTTTGCATCTCCAAAGAAATCAACTGTTGATGAACTCAGTGTGTTCTCCTCCGAAGCTGATGACAAACTCTCAGCTTCAAGTACTACAATCACATCCACAATCAACATGGCTTCTCTTAAATCATGTTTCCTACAAATGCCTAGGTATTGCACAGCTAGAAACTAGGCAAACTTTGATCATTTTTTTTTCCCCATTTTGGGTTGGATTTGACTTAATGATTAATGGCTTTTTTGAATTTCAAACAGGTTTTCGTCTGGGCATGGAACAATTGGCTTGTAGCATCAATAATGGGCAACAATGGGGGGATTGATTTTGCTAGGTATGAGATTTTTTATCTAATTTTTAATGCATACAGAACAACGTCTGGTATTGAATGCGATGTATATATATGCACATGCATACATTTCTGGAATGGATTTTCAAGTCAAATGGTAGGATTTCTTTTGTGATGTTGGGTTTGTTTATGTTCAATCTTTGCAGAAACTTTGGAAGCATCATATAAAAAGAAGAAAAAGAATCCTCTAGTTGTATAGCCAAAACCACACCACCCACAAGAAAAAAAAAAAAAGCAAATCCCCCAAAACAAAAAAAAAAAAAAAAAAAAAGATCTGAAAGACAAGATCTCAGCAAGATCACCATCATCATCAATACATACTTACAATGAATACATAATTGCTTAGGTAAAAGGACAGATGAACTGATTTATGAAGTGGGGTCTCTTTCTCTTTCTCTCTTTCCCTACTGTGGATATCTGTAGGTGAATGTGCTTGGTTGGACCACCACACAGAAGCAGAAGCAGAAGCAGGAAGCAGATTAAAAAAAAACAAAAGGCAGGCTAGTAGTAATGTAATTTACTGTCTTCTTTTCATAATGTAATTTACCTTTTTTTTTTTTTTTTTTTTACCCCCCATTTGAGGGGGTGAAAAGGACGACTACATAAAGAAATGAAATCATGTATCATCATCATCAAGAAGAAAATATTATATATATCTTTGTGACTGTATGTGTACAGAACTACACCCATCAAGCTTTGAAAAGCGCTTCTTATAACAGCAGAACTGTAACTACTGTACTGATTCAGTGATTTGGAGACTCCAAAATTAAAATCAGTGCTGGCAATAAATACAGTTGAGGTTAAAAGTTAAGGTTTTAGAGAAAATATGTCAAATTTTAAGGGCGGTTCAAAATTTACACTCCATGTACGGGTCACCATTAGGTCCACTAGAATCATAAAGTAACACTTTGATCCCGATTCAACCGTCCAAGGGCCTTTAGTGTTCATTTTTACTTCTTAGTTTTTAGGGATCAAAGTGTTACTTCTGATTCAAAGAGATCGAAGTGTTTGTTAACCTAAATTGCAAGGGACTATATAATTAAACTAGAATCAGAAATTGACAATTTGATCCTATCCGAGGGTCGTAGATGTGTTACTTTCTAATTTTACATGGACTAAAGTGTTGAGTGGAACTAAACTTAACCTAAAACCTTATAGACCTAAATTGATTATCCCATTAGATTGGGTAAGTGATTTACATTCACTAGAATACCCCCTAAGGTTTAGTCTAGTAAAAGGGAGCTCATTCAGTCTTAGTAATGTCTTAGATTCGAGTCTCCACCATGAAACTTTGATCCTTACAGAATTAGAAAACTTACATTCACTAGAATCGGAAAGTAATACTTTGATCTTTGTTTGAGAGACCTTAAAGTGTTCGTGTATAGGGATCAAAGTGTTAACTTTCTAAATTGAATGAATCCAAGTGTTACTTAAGCTAAACCTTATGGACCTAAAAGAAATAATCCCATTTAGATTGGCAAAAGAGGAAAAAAAGTAGTAAAAAACAAGGGGGGAAAAAAGAAAGTTGTAAAGAAAAGGTTGTTGTTTCATGTGATTAAAGGTTACTTTAGAGGGAGTGTTTTGTCTCATTTTGTGGTTTCTTTTAGGTGGACTTGAATGGGTAAGGGCCACATTGTCACATGGGTTCTGACATTTTATATCAATGGTATCTGGGCACCACTCACTCCTTTCTCTTTCAATCTTTTAACCTCATTCATTCAAATTTTTTTTTATTATTATTATTATTATTTAAATTTTGATTTTATGGGTTTTGGTGCCCTTGGGTCTACATGTGCTGCTATATTTTTGTTATTTTGCTTGCCCTCCAACTACATTTAAAATTTCTTGACCCCTCATTACCTGAAGAAACTTTTGTGGGAGTTGAAGGCTGCAAAAATGTTGAGCCATTGTTAGTGGTGGTTGGGAGATTTTTTGAGCCTTATTTAGCTTCATTTGCAACATGTTGGCTTCATGATTTTGCCATTCTCTATTTTCTTTGATCCTTGTTTGTTTTTTGTTATTTAGGTTTTGCTTGTTTTATCACTTAAAAAACGCTTAATTTGGTTTGTGATCCGAAAATAATTTTTTTTTTTAAATAATTCAAATTAAAAACTATAGAAGATTGTGAAAATGGTTTTCACCCGTTTTTATACTAGATTTTAATATTGTATTCTAAAAATATTTCGATTCGTTTTTACCAAACATATTTTTATATGATTTTTTTATATCTTTCTTTTTAGAAACAAAAGTAGCGTATTTAAATTTTATATCAAATAGGAATAATTTTTTAATATTTCAGATTACAAGATCAACAGAATGGGAAGACTTTGAACTACAGTCTTGTTAATGCTTGTCCAATAATAGAGATTTAATGAGATTCCTATGAGGAAAACATCCCTAGGTCTTGGCTCATTAAGCTTGTAAAACGTTTAATAGATTTCAAAAATTAGTTGAGGTGTGTACAAATTGGTCCGAATACTTCGGTTATAAAAAAAAAAAAAAAAAAAAATTCCCTAGGTTTCAAACATTTCATTAATTATTGATATAGATTGTTATGAAAAACGACTTATAAGATTTAATAATAAACTTATAGCGTGTAACTATAACCTCGTAATATCGAACAACGAATTCATTACAAAGTGACGTGTAAGTTAAAACGTCATATTTACAGATAACGTTAAAATAACTATTTCAATTTCGATATTACAAATCTTATATTGAGGCGATAATTACACTCATTAGTCTTATAATATAATCCTTGAATAAGTTGCAATGTCAACATCTTGAAACCTCATTGTCAAGCTAAATAGCTGGCCACAACCTCAATCAAGTAAAAAGCCCTTCACATTGGTATCTATATTGCTTAACAATTTTCCATTTGGGCAAAGAAAGCAACATTGTTGTTTGTCATATTTCCCAATCACAAGGATTGGCCCAAGTTAATTATCTTTTAAAGACTTGTTTTTTGGGGTAATTAGGGGCTACTAGCACCCATCATTTTCGCATAATCTATTGGATTTTTGTGTTAATTGATTTGTCTTCCTTGTTGATTTTGATGGCCATTACTTTGGTCTTTGCCTCTTTTAAGTAGATAATGTAATTGGGTCTAATAATTGAAGACTTAGTATTAATTTGTTTCCTTCTTGCCCTTGAGGTTTGGCTGAATAACACAATCTGAAATAACAATTTACCCCCTCACGTTAATATTCCATTAGGGTTTCTGTCATCTTACAAATGCATATTACTCTTTATTCGTTAAATTAAACACTAAAACTCAAACAAAATAGTAACAATAGGAGGTAAATTATTAGTTTAGATATTGAGGAAAACTTTATTTATCCAAACATTTTCAAGTACTGAGGCAAGTGATGCTTCAAATCACTCATCTATGGGTAGTCTAGATGATTATGACGAATTAGAGATAAAGTGGATATGTGCACAATCTCGGGTTCGATTCCTCATTTGAACATCCAAGATTTAAGTAAAGGCTATGACGGTAGTAGGTTACTATGCTAGTCTTCCTCGAGGATTAATCAAAGTGTATTTAAGTTGGCTCAGACATCATTTAACTCAAAAGTAACCGAGTTTTATATTATAATTGATATTGTTATAATTTTGTGTTAAGTATTACAAGTCTATCGTTATTATAATATTATCGAGAGATAAAAATATTCAAAAAAATCTTGACGTCACCAATGGTGAAACTAGTTGTGAGATAAAAGTTAGGATTAAAGAGGATTTACCTATCATGTAAAAATGGAGATTGAAAACAATGTTGCTTTGCAAAGTCACCAAGATGATTGTTAGCACTAAATTAATAGTAATGCAATTGAATATATATACAAAAGAAAAAAAAAATATCATATACTTAACTTTAATTAGAATTATAATGGGTATTATTATTTAGAGGATATTTTATTTTCATTTTTTAAATAAAATATATTATACATTGGGCTTTAATAATAATAAATAAATAAATAAATAAATAAATATTATGAGTATTATCATTTAGATGTCGCTTCTTTTTTCAATTAAAAACAGAGAGAGAGAAAAAAAGATACAAGTTGCAGATTTATCAATAAATGACAATTTATATATATTTTTAAAAAGTATCCGTTTATTGATAATTAATAAATATGCAACTTGTATATTTATTTTTTGTTTTTGTTTTTAATAATAATAATAAGAAGATTATTAATGAAGCCATGATTTGCACTTATTTATAAGGGGGACCCAATTCAGTTATGATTCTAAAGGGAAAGTGTGAGTGTATGAGATGAGCTAATGCTTAAGAAATTAATCATGATTAATCTAAAGGACAATAATATTCAATTAAAAGGAAACCTTTCATAATCATGTAAAGGGAGATAAAAAATTAATTAATTAATTAGAATAAAATTTCTATGCAATAATTGTTTCCCCGCTGAATGTGCTCATAGATTATTTTCACCATTCAAGCAAAAGAATTTTGTTATATTATAATTTAATAATTTAATTTTAATGTTGTTTACGAGGAAGTTTAAAAAGGGTAAGATTTAAGACTAAAATAGACAATATTTATTCGGTTGGACTTAAATGGTTATGCACTAATAACCTTAAAGACTGGGGTTTATTCTAGGAGACTCACTAAACACCCTACAAGCTCAGATGGTTATGCACTAATAACCTTAAATATTAGGTTTATTCTGGGGGACTCACTGAATACCTTACAAGCCCAAATAGTTATGCATCAGTAACCTTAAAGATTGGAGTTTATTCCGGAGGATCCACTGAATACCCTACAAACTCAATGAATTATGTAAGTCACAGATGTGGTAGGTGGCCACTGTGGAGACTTGAATACAAACTCAATGAATTATGTAAGTCACAGATGTGGTAGGTGGCCACTGTGGAGACTTGAATATAGTACCTCTAGATAATCCACCCAAATGGCTAAAGTCTTGTCATCTAGCTACAAGCCTAGTAGTTAGTTTTGACTTTGAAAAATAGTATCAACAATTATTTTTCTGATTTTTCTGATTTTTATTTTTATTTTTAATTTTTCCAAATAATTTCTTTTCATAAATAATTTTTGAAGTTCATCTTGGTAGAAGCACAAAAAAATTTGCCAAATTTTTTCGAAGTTTTTAACTCAGAACACATGTAATGTCATGGTTAGCAGATTGGGCCTCGACTGGGCAACTCGATAGATCCCACCAAGCCTAACCCAGTAAAAATAGATTATTAGGCCCAGAATATTTTACCCTGGATTGGACTATGATTGCTGGCCCAATAAAGCTTTCAGCTAGCTAGACCAAATCTCTTTTGAGCCCCAATTTTAATTTTTCCATATAAAATCGTTAATATTAATTGAAAATTAATAAAAGAGATATAAAAATAAAAAAAATTTGAAGATACTAACAATAAATTTTCTTCATGAGTTTTAGTTTTTAAATTTTTCGGTTCATCCATGAATCAGTTTTCAATTCCTGTATAGAATTTTTTTTTTTTTTTGTTTTATCGGAGTATTCGGCCAGCTTGCATGCACCTCAACTAATCTTCAGAGTCCATCAGTTTTCAATTCCTATATAGATTTTTTTTTTTTTTGTGTTTTTTTTTTTTTTTTTTTTGTAACTGGAGTGTCCAACTAGCTTGTACGTACCTTAACAAGTAAGTAATAATGTTATTGTGATAGACGACCCTAAGGTTTGAATCTAAACACTCAAGGAAG